ATATATATATATATATATATATAGACATATGATAAGGTGTTGACAACCATGACTGTATCAATGAATTACAGCATCATCTTGACCCGTCTACTTGCCTTGACTAAACGCTAGAGATACCAAAAATAAACAACCTTGCCACATCCACATCATCGAGAAACAAACACAAATCCACTGCTTGATAGTGCTGGAGAGACCATAACCCATATTTTCATTCTACTAAAAAAGATATTCTGATAATTTTCCCAACTGACCAAGGCAAGCATTTAGCTAAAGGGAAAAAAGGAGGAAGCAACACCATATCCTTGATTATGCTTCAGTAGCCACCACCCCTTGACCGGCCACCCATCCTTCCACGGCTACGGCCATAGCCTCTGCCTCCTCCACCTCTACCCCTTTCATATCCACCTGTCAGAGGGTTAAAACAAAGAGGAGTACTTGATGGTCAGCTATGAATTCAAATTAACATCTCCTTGGCTTGCAAGATTAGGACACCTGCACTGAGATAAACCATTCTCCACAGCCTAAACTCCAAAAATGAAACTTCATTGAAGTGACCAATCATTTGTTTGTATATGCTATAAATGAAGCAAACTTACCACGATTGCTCCAACCTCTTCCTCTGCCCCCACCTCGACCCCAGTTTGAATAACCTCCATTATCTATAAGAAAAGAGAAAGTAAGAGGCACGTATTCTCTCAATAATTTACTATTCTGTTGCACGAATCTTCGAACTGGAATATTGCAAATCATTTTCACAACAAAATTCAAAATCAATAATTTATACCTTGATAGTTTCCATATCCACCCCTAGCGTTATCTGTAAGAAAAGAGAAAGTAAGAGACAGGTATTCTCTCAATATTCAACAATTTATTCTGTTGCATGAATCTTCAAACTGGATTGATGCAAATCATTCTCACAACAAAATTCAAAATCAATAATTTATACCTTGATAGTTTCCATATCCACCCCTGGGGTTATCTGTAAGAAAAGAGAAAGAAGCACATATTCTCTCAATATTCAATAATTTATTCTGTTGCATGAATTTTCAAACTGGAATAATGCAAATCATTTTCACAACAAAATTCAAAATCAATAATTTATACCTTGATTGTTTCCATATCCACCCCTGGCATTATCTGTAAGAAAAGAGAAAAGTAAGAGGCAGCTATTCTCTCAATATATATATATATTTTTTTTTTCTGTTGCATGAATCTTCAAACTGGAATAATGCAGATCATTTCCACAAAAAAATTCAAAATCAATCATTTATACCTTGATAGTTTCCATATCCAGCCCTGGCCCAACCCCGCCCTCTCCCTCTACCACGGCTTCTTCCTCGACCATATGAGTCTTGGCCATATGAATCTACAAGAAGCAAATTAGGATCATATTGAGATTGAAATAAAGGAAATGGTGTATCCGTAACATGATTGTTAAATGACTTGCTTCTGGTGTCACCTTGATTACCAGCATTGTATGGAATACGAGCTTGTTTGGGTGGTTGCTGCTGTTGATAGCGATTCTGTGGCTTTTCAACATAATTTGGAGCTTGGTACCTATTGCAATTTTCAAGCCATGCCAAGGAAAAAAAAAAAATGAAGTACCATATAAGTTACTTCCATCAAAGGCCATTAACATGCCCAAACCCCAAATACTGAGATACGGGCCTCTAAACATCAAATATGACAACTGCATAAAGAAAAATGACTAATAGTTGTTTCTCTTCACATAAAAGATAAAACAATTGCCTCAGATGTCAATTGCAACAAGTATATCAGATAAAACTTACCCAGGAGAATTTTGGTTTAGCTCTCTGAACGAAAAGGTGATTGAAATCATTGAGACCTGGCGAGTCATCTCCACACTGCATCAGATATCAATTCTCAGATGTATATGGCACAGAATCAGGGCAATACATTAACAAAAGCAGAAACAAAAATAATCAGATACTTACTTTTCAAGTCCTTCCTCAATGGGTTCCCATACATCAGTTATGCTGACTGAACTGATGGCAGTATCTTGATGTAACCGGGGCATCCTTTTCTGTTTTATTACACAGAAAGATAATTAATTAAGCACACAAAGAGAGGATGGCGGACAAAGAGGAGGCAGAAATGGAGCACTTGAAAAGACTACCAACCTTTATGATCTCTGCAATGGCTACTGTCTTGCTGATTGCCTGTCCCATTGCTTTCAGGACAATCTCCTTCACATGTTTGTCCTAATAAAATATCACTAAGATATGAATATAAATTCAAGATTTTGCAACTTCAGTGGAACAAAAGGAAAAACGAATTATAGAAGTAAAAAGAAAGATACAATGCGAAATTGGAGAAATGGGGGACAGAAGCTCAGTCCAAGGACTGAAGGGAAAGGATCAAAAGCTCACAGAAAGCTAGCACAAAATCGATATTTGATTTCTTCCTTATTAAGCAAAGCATATAATAACTCATACCAATATCTTTAGTAGCTACAAGCCACCCCTGAAGAAACCAGAAGTGCACCCAAACATCAAGAATAACAACAATGAAACAAATCAGTAGCACCCCCAAACATGGTATATATCATTAAAAACTTACAAGACGTATGCTAGAACTCACTAATTTTCAGCAAAAACGGTTGCCTGAGAATTGAACCCACCAAATGAAAGAGCCCAAAATGGCACTCATTTCTCAAAATCAACGTACTAATCACCTAAAGCCCCGCAAAACAATTCCAAAACACAACATTGGGAACCCATACACCAAACAGCATAACACCAGCATCCGAACTCCTCCCTCAAACAAAACACTGAATCAAAACAGTACCCAGAAAATAACTCAAAACAAAAGGAACAAAACAACAAACATAATATGGGCAATCGACAGAAGACTGCAAATAAATAAGGAAGCGGAGAAACAGAAAAACAATCACAAAGACATAGAGAAAAACAGAAATGAAACAAAGGCAGAAATTGAGGGATACCTGAAGCAGAGAGGTAGCATAGCTGATGTAATTTCGAATAGGGCCAGCAGAAGTGATTCTGATCTCATTCTCGTTAATGGCTGCCTCCGGCTTCCGTCTCTCGACTTTCTGGTACCTATCCATGGCCGTGAAGCAGAGACGCAGAAACCCTAATTAAACCCTAGCGGAGAATGGGAAACAAAGAGGGGGAGAGAAAAGGAGAGAGGAAAGGCTAAAAGCTTGGCGAGCCGCTTTAACGGCCTTACGCGTCAGCATTTTATAAACTCGGCTTATGCTTAGGCGGCTCCGTCCTATTGGACAAACATTTATTTCGTGCGCGAAAATGAAGCGCGTGTAATGCACGAATGGTATTGATTTGTTGATGCGAGACGGAGCATCGTCTATGCTGCTGCTGTGCACTACTGAATTTCCGTAATCAACCTTTTCTTCCTTTTTGTTTTTCTTGGGTATCAAGAAAGAATACTACTACTCGTATTTTGGAAATCTTTTTATTTTAAATAATTTGATATATTCAGTTTTATTTCGTGCTGCCCAAATAGGAAAACCTGTATTGCAAGTAAGGAATACTTTGGAGTCAAGCCTATTATTCATTGAGTGGGATTGGGGCCCTCCCCATCTAAGAATTTTGGATTGTAAAATACTTTGTTCGTTATTCATTTATGCAATGCTAACATATTATAATTTTACTAACGATGAAACAAGATTATATCAATACTATATTTTTTGGTTAAAATTTTATTTTAATTTCTTTATTTTAATACATAGTTTTTTTTTTAAATTCTTTTACTTGTGAAAATCTCTTTTTAGCTTTTAAAATTTATTATTTGATCTCTTTTTAGTTCTTTCATTATTATTATTATTATTTGTATATGTAGTACTTTAAATGACGACAAAAATTTTAAAGTAAAGAAACAAAAAAAGAGTTTTTTTAGTAAAGGAGCAAAAAAAAAAGGCTACTTTAGTCCATTTTCAATTCCTTTATTTTGGAAATTCTATCATCTAATGTCTCATGTATATAAAAAAATAACAAAAAAATTAAAAAGATGTGAGATAATAAACTTTAAGGATTAAAAAAAAATTTAATAGAAGGATTAAAAAATAAACTTTTTATTAAAGTAAAAGAACTAAAATGGGGTTTTCACAATTTTCTTTTAGTAAGAATATGAGATCTTAAATTCAAATGCTATAGCATGCAAGTGAATGGGTTAAATGATGAAAGAGGGCTCTTTTTATTATTATTATGCAGCTTAAATTTTTTTTTTTTTAAACTACAATATAATATTAAACTTTGTTGTGGTTCTTATAGTTAGGGTTTTCCATGCCTATACCATGAGATTAATCTCTTCTCAAGCCGATAATATAATATTAAATAAGTTAATTATAAATGTATTGTGAATAAATGAGTTAATTATAAAAAATAATTCAAAGACAATTTTTTCATATAACTTTATGTGTTATTTAATGGTTAATCCTTTTTATTTTACTGTGATTTGTTTTGCATTCATTTATTTAATAATATATAAAAATTATATAAAAAAAATGAAAAAAATTATCCACATATTACTACCCGTTAACTATGTCATGCATAAATATTATGTGCATAACCTTTTTGCTATTCATTTATATAGAATTGTTTTAGAATAAATCCTTCATATATATATATATTTTTTACCATCAAATAATCCTTTATTTAATAGTACTAAATATTTTACATTTGTTGATTGATTGTATGATAATGAATATTTTTTTATTTCTTAAATATATTTCTATTGGTGCAAAGATTAACTCTACGTTAACTTTAGTTTTTCATTTTTCTAACCTTCATGTAATTCATTTTAAGGCCTTCAAAAACGATATATCAATCCACTGGTTAAAATATATATATAGTATTCCTTTTAGAGAGAAAAATAGTGGTAATGAATGAGATTTGGAGGTGGAATATTTGTAGATCCTTCCTTGAGAAGGAGGGTTATGTCACTGTGTCATGCATCTCATGGGCTTCTCTTGAACTAGCTACTTAATGTGTGGAGGGCCTCCATGACTGTCTATTGGGCTACTTAATGTGTGCAGGGCCTCCGTGACTGTCCATGCAATCTTGGTCCCACAGTGGGCAAAGGATAATGAAGTTCTCGTCCATATTTGGGTAATTGAAAAGGGGTTTTAAAATTAAGTCCAACCGAGTGTGCAGGGCTTGTCATGACTTGTCTGTGGGAGAAAATATTGTGGATCTAAACCCAAAAAGTTGAGCAACTAAGGGCCTGATGTTTTCTGCATAATTTCTTCACTAAATTGCGTGACAAATTACCCAAAGATCTTTTATTAGCATTGCTGGCAAATATGCTGGGTAAAACTGCATGTTACTAGCATGCATCACAATTACCATCAACACAACCATAATGCCGTGCAAATCACATTTTCGACTAGTAGGATCTTAGATGGTTCAACAGGTGGTAAGATGCTTCTTTTATGAAGCATTTCTACCTCTCAAATTAGCTCTACCCTTTTGCCTGACTAAATCCCTCTTAGAAGCAATAAATTTGACATATAGCATTTCCTGATTAAAGTCAACTCTAAGCTTAATAAGTACAAAAACATCGGTAGAAGCATTCCAAGAGGAGTAGGTCAAACAGACAGAAATATTGCTTGCACAAATAAAAAATGAGATGAAACTCAAATCCCTTGATGTAGCTATACCGTATAAATTACGCCATCCATTGAACTGTAAACAAGTTGTTGGCTATATAGCTTATCCTGAATTTCTGATAAGATCAACTCTGTTCAGATCTACACATATCCCTTGATGGAGTCTCTTTCAAAGTTTCTTAGATATTCAGGAACAGTTCAAATCACTAATTAATAATGATAACATTCTTATGGAAAAAAAATGGATGAATCACATCAACGACCAAACCTTGAATGAGCCCAGCTAAGAGTTAGGCAGAGATTAAATGCTCACAAATGAGATGAAAGCTCAAATAAGTAATGAAGAAGGTACCTGGAGAATCCCCAACCATAAGCTAGGTAGATAGCTCAACCCTATTAACCGTGTACTTCTAACATGAATTCAATAAACTTCCTCTTAATTTACAGATTGAAAATAATTGGCAGAATTAATTCAAGTAAATTGAGCTGCTAACGAAGAGAATAGACAAACGAAGAATACAATAAAATGGTATTAAGTCGACTCAGTGACCAAAAAAAAAAGAAACAAGAGGGCAATGATGATAATAACACAAAAGAATAGTAAGTGTAGATAAGATCCTGCCTCTATATGAGGTTAAAAACTTCCATTAAAGTCACAAATAACTAACAAGACGAGCTTTCAATTATGGGCACTTTTACAATGTCCCAAAATTGAAGACAATGAAGAAGGTAAATGATGATTACAAATACTAAGGGCTCTAAGATGGGTAGTAAACATTTTCTTAAGGCATTATTTTACTGGCTCTAGCAAAACTTGGCATGAACATGACATGAGGTCACATGGCAAATCACTTCTTGGATAGAAACATACCCTTTCCGTAAAGAAGATTTAGAAATAGCAAATTCAAAGATCTTCCTATGGATTCTCCTTTAAACAATTAATGCTTTAGGTCTTAAAAGTTAATATAATTGTGCAACTGAAGAAATGAAAGTTTATTGACTAAATCATATTTATAACAGAAGATAACACCAATGGCTCAAAACCTAATAATTAAAGTGTTCTATCATGAGAGTTGATTGAATCATGTTTACCAACAGAAATATAGAAGTAAAAGGCTAAGCAAACACCAAGAGCACTAATTTTTGCAAGCATGTTTCTTGTTAATGACTTACCTAGCACATACTGAAAAGCTACAATTAACTGCTACATACTGCTCTAAAGTATAAACAAATTAAATCTTTTCCGTAAGGCATTTGCACCTGAATTACTGGAGAAGAGATTCATTCCTGATCAAAGTTACAAAGTGCACACTAATTGAATCCAATAACTATTCACGTATTCAAACAAAGGGGCAAAGATGAACATGTGATAGTTAATATAAATTTACAATGATAAATATAAAGTCATTCATGCAATAAGAGGTTCTAATACCATTAATCAAGCATCAAGCATAAAGAGAGATAAGGGAATTCAGGGTTCATTCCTATCGAGTATTCCCTGAATCAATCAGTCATACATAGCTTGAATTGGGCCAACATCATCATCCTCCCGGCGAAGTATGCTGCTGAGAGAAACTGTTGAACAAAAGCTAATGACCTTGTGGAACTTGTTAACAGGGGACGGCAACTGGGGCACTCTCCTCCAGGTGCATTTCCCATTCTCACCATTAATCTCGCAAATACAAGCAGGGTATTTCTTGTGATACTCCTCATTGAACACATAGATCAGATTACCCAATCCCACGCATTTCAAGCTAGCAAATTTATCCTCCTCCTCGCTATCCACCAAACTATAAAGCAAATTGTGGGGCATGATAGCAATCTCACTGAACTCCATGGTATCCTCATTGATCTTCCAGAGATTAAACGACGGCCCGCGTGGGGGGTTGCACATTCCGGCCAAAACAAGCATGTCTTTGCACGCAATCAAGAAAGAAAAGTTAACCCCAGGAGGCCTCAAGGTCTGGACCTCGCTCCAAACATGCTTTTGCAAATCGAAAGACGAGACAAAGCATGAATAGATCCCAAACACATAGAACCTGCGTTTGAACAGAGCAGATGACAGAGACTGACTAGAGTTCCCTGACCGGAAATCTGCCGGCAGGGGAGGGCAGAGTTGCCAGGAATCAAGATTGGGATCGTATATCTCCACGGCCAACCTATCCTCGATATCAACCAAGCCACCGACAAACCTGACCCCACCGACGACAATAAACTTGAATCCTAACCCACCAGAGGTTGGATCGTGGAAGACCCCCAGAAGGGGGTTGATTCTGGAGTATTTGAGGGGAGAGGTGAAACGCCAGGCAGTTTTCAGAACTGGGGTGTAGCTGAATTTGGGAGTGGTGGTGAAGAAGAATCCATTGGAGCCGAGAAAGGAGGAATCGGAATCATGGAAATCGGGAAGGCGGAACCAGGAATTGGAGATGGGGTCAAAGGCAAAGGACTGGTTATTCTTAGCAGAGGTGTTGTGCAGGCCAAAGAGAAAGAACCAGGGGTGGGAGAGGGAAGGGGAGGAAAAAGAAGGAGATGAAATGAGGGAGTGCCAAAGCCTGCAGACGGAGGAAGCGCGGAGGAGGGAAGGAATCGGGAGGAAAGAGAGTATGAGCTCGGTAAGGTCGGTGCTAAGGGTGTTGATGTTTGGATCTTTGGGGTTGTGGTCCGACATTGAGGAGGAAGAACTGAAGGAGGAATCAAAGGGAAAGGAACGGCGGAGGGAGGACAACGGAGAAGGTGGACAGGTAGTTGGAAGGAGGAGGTGGGTGAGAACTGGCGGAGGAGGGAAATGGAAGAAATGATGGATATAAAATTGGAGTATGTAGCTAACGAATTTAGAAATTTTATTTTGGCTGAAGGTGCAATTCAGCCCCTCCAGATACGATGTTGTGGCAGATGACCCCCTCCAATTTTTCAATTGGAATCCCGCCCCTTTGATTTACAAAACAATACAAATGAGGCCTTTTCACTATAATGACATCATAAAATGTTAGCATGCCGTCAAGGGACACTAAACTCTATTACTTGGCTGCAATGTTATGTTGACGTGGAACAAAAAATTCCATACTTTTTTTTTCCTTAGTAAACGTGGCTATTTGAACGTAATAAAACTATATAAATAATTTAATTTGGCCGTTAGCTTTGTTTCTCATTTTTGTCCTTTTCTCTCCCCTTTCATTCCAATTTCCTATCTCTTTCTTTCTCTTTGTGAATAGATTATTTGCTATTATCATGATTGGGCTGCTATTGCTCTGAAGATAGGTTTGTTTTCTTGGGTTTTTGAGGTGATTTCATTTTTGGGTCCTAGGTTTGAGTTAATATGTTGGAATTCAAAGTTCATATGTCCAATTGACCCTATATGTTGAGGAAAAATAAAGTTAGTTTTGGTTTACATGTTAATGCCAGCAAAGTAGCTAAGTAATGAAGTTTGGTGTCCCTTAAGAGCATGCTAACATTTCCTGACGTCATCATAATGAAAAGGGCTCATTTGTATTGTTTTGTAACTAAGGAGGCAGGATGCCAATTAAAAAATTGAGGGGGTCATCTCCCACAACATTGTATCTTTAGGGGCTGAATTGCACCTTCATACTTTTATTTTAATTACTATGTTAAAAAATTTAAGTTTTTTTTAAAGGGATAATATGTTAAATACAATAAAGATGATTATCCTCTTTTTAAACTCCTCCTTTATCTTAAATTTAAATTTGAGATTTTTAATATAAATATTTAAAATTTTAATCATTACAACGTAAATCTAGAGATATAGTAATTTAAATTTTGATACTTGGTCTACGTTCAAAAATAGGGAGTGGTTATTGCTACCATCAATATTATTAATGCCACAAAAATTTTAGTTTTTTTCTTAAATTATTTAAAAATATTAATTTGTTAACTGAATTAATTAATAATTAATTAATATCATTTTTTATTAATTATTAATGAATAGTTACTATTATTAACTACTTTTATTAGTTAAATTAAATAAAATTAATATTTTTAAAGATAATATTTAAGAATTTTAGTGATCATAAAATTATTTTTAATGCCATAACCCTGCCCTTGAGAATCTATATCCAATGTCTATGTTACTAGGTACAGCCATACCCAACATGTATATTTGTACAATTAAATATAAATTAAAATACAATTAAATTATTATATAATACAAAATTAAGTCAGTAGGGGACTTTCATATCCACTGTACGGAACACATTACATACTGTACATGACTGCACAGTTCATATTTAAGTGAATAGAAGGATTCTATATACACTGTCTATATATAATTCATACCGAATGGAAGATCTAATCCCATAATTGCATG